ACATACATAAAAATTTAATATAAGTAATTCTTTTCGTGGAATATCAATTATTAAATAAGTCCCTCTAATTAGATTAAAATACCGCCATAATTTTTAATATAAATAATTAATATTATTAAATTTTATTATCAATAATAAGGTATTTAATCTTAGTTTATTACAATAATTTATTAATTATTAATTTTATAAATTATATTAAAAAATTTTATTTAAATTTTATCTAAAAAAAAATTATTTAAATATATTAATTATATTTAATATTTATTTGTAAAATTAAAAACATTAATTTATATAATTTTGTTTAACCGCTAATGCTGGCACAATATTATTCTAAATTTATTATAATTTCTAAATAATAATTTTTATATTGTTTAAATTTATATATTAAATTTAAATTTAAAAAAAAAAAAATATATATATATATATATATATATATATATAATAATTAATTAATTAAACTAAATTAAAATTTTTAAAATTTAATTAATAATTAATTTTTTTTTGTAAAAAAAATGTTTTTCTTAAATTAAAATTTTAAATTAATATAAATATGTTATAAATTAGTGTTTGTGCACTTAAATTTTTGAAATTTAAACTATAATAATAATTATATTTATAAAAATAATTAATAAATATAAATGAATCTTTATTATTTAATGTTGAATTTTTTTTATTTTTAATTTTTAATTTTTTTTTTGAACAAAAATGGCTATTTTTTGCACAAAAATGGCTATTTTTTGAACAAAAATGATATTTATATAATAAATGATTTATATATATATATAAATACTTATATATTATTAAATTATTTAATAATTTAAATTTTAAATTAAATATTTATTTATATATACCTAGAATCAGACCTTTTATCGGATTTAATTTATATATACCCAGTCAGACCTTTAATCGGATTAATTCCCTTAACTCTTTCGTCTCGTGATATCTCGAGGCAATTCCGAGTTCAATTTTGACGTGCCGATACCATTATTGGAGGCATTTTTTAAGCGATCACGGCGCAAAATGTCTTATCGAAATAAGCATCATGTGCGTGGACACGGTGTCGCGTCGTTTGAAACCAACTGTTGAAAAGGGTAGCCGGTAGTCCAGGGGCCAGAAGAGGCCGATAGAACATCACCATAAAAGTTGATTACGCCAACAACGTTTTGATAGATAGATTTTAAAGGATTTAGTTCTATGCGTTGGAAATGAGTTGAGTCTTTTGGGTCATGGCGAAGAAAAAAAGGAGTGCAATGCTAAAAGCACCCTATATGTTTATGACTAACAGGTTAGGTTATTTATTCTCACGTCAATGTTTCATTGTAAATAATTATTTGAATATTATAGTGTCTGTTATTGTTAAGTATTTTCAAAAGTTAATTTATAGAAATAAAGATAGTAAGATTCTCCAATAAGTTATTCACTAATGTAACATTGACAGCTAAATGTTTGTTATTCAAATTTAATAACTAAATAAACTCATGCTACAAATGACTACATATATCCAAATTGTAATGAGTGAAATTAAAAATTTTATATGTTTTACTCCCTTTGCTAGTCTTAATTGAGATGTAAAACTATCCGAAGTTAAGTCATAAAAATTATTTGAGGAAAACGGAGACTGTTAATTTAGATAAGTATCTAATATCTGATATTGCGTTATGAAATATAACCAAATGAGAATTATCAAGCTAAATAATCTATCCTATCAATCGTAAATATGAAATAGATTTTTGGTACCTACTCTGGTCCTCTTTTTCCGCTAATTACAAAAGAAAATTTACATTTTATTTTCTTACAAAGAAAAAATACAACTTTCTTTTAAAGCACAGCGAGACTTAGTTAAAAGGCATTGTAAAAAGTTGGTTAATGTGAATAATTTTTGAATGTGGAAAGTCATAAAGCATACATAATTGACAACCTACCTGTTTATACATACATTCAAGCTCTTTGAGGTGCTTAAAGAAATTTTGATAATTAACTCTTTTGCCAAAAGTTACATTAAAATTAAATTGAACAGAAAAATATCAATAAATAACATAAAAATTGTTAACAGAAATATTTTTTACATTGACCAATTCAGAAACAAGACCATAAAGAAGTCTCGCAAAGCTTAGAAAAAAAATCTGTAAAGGTGATAAAGAAAGAAAAGGATGAAATCCTACGGCATTGATATTTATACGGTAAGGAGCTGAGCATTATCAGCCTCGTATATATCATTGAGTTCATTGAATAACACGATGCGCATTTCGAAAAATCACACTTTTCAAAACTTCCGCAATTATTTTCTCCGAAACTAAGGCTTAGGTACCTTTTTTATTTAAAATTCGCTGAAAGAAGCTAACTAATTTTATTTTAGAAAATACTTAATTTCATTATTGATTATGGAAAAAACGCTAATTAATACCAATTGAACCAATAGTCTGACGACAACGCACGTAATAAATTTAGATTCGGCGGCTCAAAGTACATAAGGAAAATGTTGGTTCGATTAAAAAGGCCATGATACAAAGATACTGGTATGCATGAGCTAAAAATATATAAATGTAACAAAAACGGATAGAAAAACGCTTCATTGAAGAGCGAAAAAATTATACATTTTTATTCTCTTTGTGTTTTTATTACCAGACTCAAAATTTTTTATAAAATTAATTTAACAAATGTATGTATAAAGCTGTATTTAAAAGTTTTCCATTATTCATCATCTAATATCCGCTAAAATGTAATAAAAAGTATAAAATTCGTATAACAAAAACAAACTAATGCGTATACACAAATAAAATATTACATAGTTATTGCTTGACTAAAGGCAACCACAAAGTTTCAACAAAACATCCACACACACATACAATTATAAAATTGCCAGTTGTCAATATACTTACAGAAAAAGTAAAAATAAACGCGAAAGCATAACAAAATGACGTAGTCTTTTCACGAATTCAAATGAAATAATATACATCACACCAATTATTAAAATTAAATGCAATACATTTTAATTAAACTAGAAAAATAAATTAAACAAATATACTTCTTATGGTCAACTAAAACAGGATATTTCACAATGAATGGAAAAAGAATATCCGAGAACCATAAGAAGTACCTTGAGTCACAATAGAATTAGCAATTTGAATTCAGAAGACAATTCTCATAAATAATCTTTACAAAACTTATATAAAATATTACAACGCTAAGAAACCACTTACGATGAATGTAGCATGGAATGGTGAACTGAAAAAAGCAAAATTACGAAATCATGATAAAAAAATATACTTTTATTGACACGTTTATTGTTGATTATTCAATAACAGAACTTTGCACAAATTTTGACAAATATAAAAAACTGAGGAACTCCACTCCATGAATTTTGTACAAAATGAAATTAAAGTACAAATGTAAAAGACTTCCCACCGGAAATACAAAATGTGACGTTCTATGGACTATTATTGTAAGCTGAACAGTATTTGGCATATGTGCGTTTAGATTCTTATTAGTTGAAGGAATGACATCCCTACAATAGGTTCCATAATCATAGCAATCTTTGGAATTCCGCGTACATAATTGGCTGGAAACAAGATCTGCTCTAAATTGAGTGGGCGGATATATTTGAGTTAAACTCTTTTTCTCGAGATGGCTCAATGTATATGTAATATTTTATAAGTTTGTATTATATATTGAATTAACAGCTACATTTATTAATTAGATAGATTATTCATTTGAAAATTATTATTAAATGATTATTATTATTATTAATTACAAAGCTTTATGCATTTCATACAAGGTAATTTAATGATACAATGCTGATTATATTTGACAACTTAAACGAAATTGAAATTTTATATTTTGAATTTATATTTATTGAAACACTTATGACCCATTTGCACCTCTTAGACCAATACCTCGAGATCTGTAGTTAAGCGTTTTTTTAAAACTTGGTATGATGGTAGGTGAACGATTTTAAAGAAATTTGATATAATGATTATTTGTATGAAGGGATACCTACAAGTTTTTTGACAAAATATTAGTTATTAAAAAAATATTACAGATTAAAAAAATCTAATAAATTTTTTTTTTCAATCGCATACTATAATTTACTTTTAAAATATTCATTTAAATTTTTCTTTATTTTTCAAAGGTTATTAACTAATTGTATTTATAGAAAATGAATTATTTTGAACGGAGTCATATTTTAATTTAAAAAATTCTTTTTCTATCTTATTTCTTGATCTTTTTTCTATAAAAAACAGTAATATTTTTGTGCCTGAAAATTACAAGGTTGTAATCAACAATCAAAATTGTTCAAACGCCACTCGGTATACACTACATGACTCTAGTAGTGCTTTGATATTAAAATTATGTGACTTCATCGAAAACAAATCATTTTACATAAACAAAAGTTTAAAATTTTTGAAAAAAATTTCAAGTGAATATTTTAAAAGTACATGGCGTTATGCTTATTTAAAAAAATTTTGATATTAAACTTTAACGGTCATCAAAATATAAATTTTCAATAAAATTTCGTTGAATATTTTTATTTGTAAATATTTTTGTAATAATTAACATTTTTACCTACGAATATGCAGAATGTTTTTTTTTGTACAAATAATTATTGTATCAACTTTTAGGAAAATCGATTACCTACAATAATATAGAGGTATTCGTCATAAGAGAAAATGTCAAAGCATTTATTTAACAGCACAAATGCGGAAACATTGAAACTGGATTTCGAAAGCTTGATATAATTATTACATGTAATCAAGATTCATAATATTATATACGTCAATGTATTTATATTTAAAGTTTATTATTATCGTTAATTCACTACATTTATTAATTTAATTATTTTTTGAATCTACTGTAAATAGGATTTGCGTGAACATGACTGTGCCAATGATTTCACATAATGATTGAAGACAAGTTGGGAACCCCTATCGTCATAATGCATTGCCCGAAGAGAGATCATGGATACTATATTAAAATTTTTCCGTGTTCTCCTAGCCAGCCCATTTTCCGAGTTTCAACACTTTCAACTGACATGAGTCAAACTAAGCGTTTGGACGCCTTTTCTATTAAATACCAATGTGGATAGATGCTGAGCTTAGGGCACAGTTGACTTGGGCTTAAAATCTATTCGTTAGCATTTCTCCATGTAGCTAGGCGTGCGTTGTGTCAAAATATAACCTTATAAACTTCATCTATTTATTATATGAAATTTGGAAATTTTCATTTATTGTAGTATTTATCAGCGTAAAAACTAGAAATAATTTTATTTTAATGTTTTTACCACTGGCAAATGTTGAAAAGTATTCAAGAAATTAATTTGTGTTACATATTGGTTGAAGATGGCAAGTATTGATTCTAATGAAAAATTAAACCAGGATCCAGATTATTATTTACCATTAGATAATGATAAAAACCAACAAAGTGTACGTGAAGAAAATGCACGTAGTACAGCTGAAAAAATATCTAAAATTTTAGAAACTGAGTTCTCTAAGGAAATAGAAACTAAAAAAAAAGAGGTTTTCAAAATTTATGAGACCCTTCACAAAGCTTGTAAGGTATTTCATTATTTACGATTTGCAATAGTAACAGACTATTACAATCAAGAACATCTTTTTGCTGATAACACAAAACAATCACGATTGCATCCAACTGTTAATGCTCCAAGAACAAAAGTCAATCTGAAAATTGATTGCGAGAATGATTGTTTTGTAGAGACTAATGATGATAACAAACCAAAGAGAAAAATTGAAAGTGAATCCAATAGCCTAGAATCTGATGAACCAAAAAAAAAAATTTTCAAAAAAGATGTAGAGTTACTTTCTTCCAGTAACAGAAAAACAAAAATAAGAATAGTGGTAGGCAATTATTCAAAGTGGATTCCTCCTCATAATAGAGAACAAAATGATGCAACTCATAAATGGACTTTGTATGTTATAGATAGTCAAAAAAGTGATCTTGGAAATTTTGTGTCAAAAGTTAGATTTTTCTTACACCCTAGTTATCAACCTAATGATGTCATTGAATTAACATCATCTCCATTTCATTTGTCAAGACTGGGATGGGGTGAATTCCCCGTAAGAGTTCAACTGCATTTTAAAAATAATCGTAATAAACCAGTAGACATTATTCATAATTTAACTTTAGACCGTACATACACAGGAATACTAACGATCGGGTCGGAAACAGTTGTAGACATTTGGTTAATTACTACTGACAGATTTGTACCATTTGTTGATGATACAAATAATGAAAATAAGAATAATAAACTAAATGTTCCTTTATCTATAAAAGAAAACAAATATGAGGATTTTTCTTTAACAATCAAAGGGGAAAAACAAGAAACTGATCTTTTTAAACAAAATGATAATGAAAATGTTACAAACACAATTATTGCTCTTAAAGACCATGACTACATTAGAACAAACTTTATTCCAATAAAGTTAGAAAATAATAAAGATACATCAACAAATTCGTCAATTACCTTCAAAAAGAATAACAATAAAAGTTTATTGAAAAATGCAATTACAGTATCTAAAGGAAATGTATTCTCAAGTAATCAAAATCATAATTTTTATGAATTGCCTTTGAGCACCAACATAGAAACAAGTGTGATAAATAGTAAACAGAATTTCAACAATGGTAAGTTTTATACTGATCTTGGAAATTATACATCAGATAAACAACATTCCAAGGAAATAATAAATTTTATAGAACAAGCAAAACCAGAAAATTTGTTTAGTATCCTAAAATTATTAATTCAGAGAATCCCTTTGATCACTGAAAAGTCCAAAGATTCACATTATAAATCACTGTTTCCTTATGCATGTGAGAGTTATCAAGTTTTTAGCAATTTTTCATCTGGAAAGCAACATGCTCTAGAAAGGTATCAAGCTCTTCATGCTCTTGATATAATGAAAGATATCGAATGTTTTGAGAGCAGTTGCAGTGTTTATGAATTCATGATATGGGCAAGAAGATATGGCTATACTCCAGTATTGAATTTCAAAACTCTGAATCAGTTATCTGCAACAAACAAAGCAATTAATGTAGAAGAAGTTAGTACAAAGTATGAAAACACAGCAACGATTTCTACAGAATTAAATGATTGGCTGTTGACATGTCAAAATATCAAACCTAGTTATAAAGAAGTGTCTAATGACAGTGAAGATGAGATTGATATTATCAATATTCCATCAAATGCTTCTAATCAATTGTCACATTATAAATATTGTAAAGCTCGTAAAACTACTCTGATTTTACTGAACTATCCTCAAGAGTATCATTGTTTAAATGAATTTGTTTATAAGAGTGCTGAACAAATAGGAATAAAATTATCAAATGAAGAAATTATTCCTGGAGTGTCACATTCTTCGGCTACTCTAGTCATAACAAAAGCTCTGGTGTGTTTGGTGGATGAACTTGTTAGATCTGCTTTAGCTTGTGCTATAGACAAGTGTAACGTGGAAAAGAATTTTGTTGATTTTAAAGTCGAAGTTGATGATGTTCATAAAGCTTTATTAAAAAGAGAAGAATTTGATATTTTTACCAATTCTGGTTTAGGGTCAGAGGGATAACTTATTTGCAGTACTACAGAAAACTGGTATTTTAATAAATGGTTTAGTCAAAAAGATAATATTTCATTGTACATAAAAGCATGTTGATTAGCTTACTATCATTATGATAATAATATAAGATGTTGAAAATTTTCAAAGGATATTTTTTTATCATCGCCAAAAACAAAATGCAAATACAGAAATAGTAATTCTTAAAATCTATCAACTATATTATATTGTATATATATTTATTTTATAAAAATACTACAAAATGTTAAATAAAAGTATTTAAATAAAAACTAATTATTATTAAATATTTGAGTATTTTTACATAAATCATACATTCTCAAACTATTATTAAGAGTTAACAAATGTTTATTGGGGATTCAATCATTCAACATTATTTCCATTTTTTGAATTTGTGAAAAATTAAATCATTTGTATGTACTTGGTGTAGTTGAAAAATTTTTTAAACTGACAATTAAATTGGTGAAAACCAAAATTTTTATTTATTCAGTTGAATAAGTAAACCATATAACGAGCCCACCTCACCGGTAATAATATTCACACATGTGTAGAAAAGGTTTGTGTGCAGCGATAGCAGCTATTTATTACTACCACACTAATAATACATAAACGTCATAAACATTGCTTTTTGGAGTAATCAGGTGGCGCAACAAACATATATTTAGTCGCTAGAATCATGGAGAAGCATCAACAGCAACTTTTTTGGAGTACATGTATAGGTTACCTAATTTTCGGTCTTATTTTCGTAAGCAGCGTATCTGCCAATGTTATTGACCAGGAGAACGAGGACGACACTTCAGGACTTTATAACGTCAGTGATCACGTTTATATCTTAGACAATATTAATTTCAAGTCTAGCGTTTTACAAAGCAAAAGAGCATGGTTGGTTGAATTCTATAACAGGTGGTGCTAAATAAATTTGCTCCAGTATGGAAAGCTTTGGCGAAGAACGTTCATGGTGAGATAGATTGAATTGCATCACTATCTTTATCTAAAGATTATCATATATTTTTACAAATAACTGTCAAGTCAAGCAATGGTTTACATTAAAATTTATTTTGAGTAAAAATATAAATTAACTAGTTATTTTCAATTTTTTGTAAAGTTACAATGACCCATGAAAATGATACTACAATTGTACTAAAAGTAGATTTGTATATTTGTGTCTTTAGGTTGGAGGAAAATTGTTACAATAGCTGCCATTGATTGTGCCAACGATGACAATAATCATATATGTAGGGAATATGAAATAATGAGATTTCCCAATCTTAAATTCTTCCCAGTGAATACAAAGACAGGCTTTTTAGGCCTTGAGGTACAACAAAACAAGGATGAAGAGCTTATAACGCAAACTTTAGTTGTTCAGCTTGAAAAAGAACAGCAAGAGCAGCGTGGAGGATCAGACTGGCCTAATTTAGCTCCATACCGGTATGTTCTTATATCAATTTTACTTCAATTTAAACATTCTTTTTCATTATGAATTCATAAAGCTATTTCATTATTTGCCTTTTTAATCACTAACATCTATTTTAATAGAATAAAATGACTTCTCTTTTTAGAAACAATGACATTGATACATTATGGACTGGAATTCCTGCAAATATTGAATATCAATTTCTGATTTTTGATGAGCCCAATTCACATTTAGGAGCTGAAGTTATATTAGATTTATATGAATTGAATAATGTACGAATTAGAAGGGTCACATCAGAAAACATTCTTCTCCTAGATGCGAATAAAGTGAATACATATCTCAGTATTTTAGCTATCAATAAGGATCAGACACAAACTACTTTGAAACTTGATAAATTAACGCGAGATGGACTTAGAGAAACAATTTTGGAATTTCTAAAATCAAAAGAAATATCCACAGGTGTGAAGGATATTTCTGATAATGCTACCTACCATAAACTAATACACAGTCCTAAAAAAATGAAACCTATTAAAGTAGAAGATAAGTTGTACCAGTTAGATTTAGAAACTACACTTCGATATACTTTGAATAATGAAATACCACTTTCAAAGCATATTGAAGGTGAAAAGCTAATAGCGCTTCAAACCTACTTGAAAGTTTTAGCTCACTATTTTCCTGCTTATCTGCCAAAGATGAATACACAGTCCCAAAAAAATGGAACCTATTAAAGTAGAAGACAAGCTGACCCGGTTAAATTACAACTACACTTATTATAACTACACTTATTAACTACACTTATTTAGCAACTACACTTCGATATACTTTGAATTCAGAAATACCACTTTCAAAGCGTTTTGAAGGTGAAATCTAAAAGTGAAATCTAAAAGTGCTTCTCCAGCGATTAGACCTTCTAATCTCAATTATTTTAATTAACCCTAGTGAAATAGAAAGTTAAAAAAAAGTTTCAATCAGGTTTAAGTGTCTGATTGCAAATAGTAGTTATATTACACACTATCACTACAATTATTAATTTAATAATGTTTTTAATTTTTACTGAAAATAAGAATAGTGATGGGTATTTATTCAAAGTGGATCCTTCCTCACAATAGAGAATGAAATGATGCAATTCATAAATTGACTTTGTATGTTATAGATAGTCAAAAAAGTGATCTTGGAAATTTTGTGTCAAAAGTTAGATTTTTCTTACACCCTAGTTATTAATCTAATGATGTCATTAAATTAACATCATCTCCATTTCATTTGTCAAGACTGGGATAGGGTGAATTCCCCCTAAGAGTTTAACTGCATTTTAAAAATAATCGTAATAAACCAGTAGACATTATTCATAATTTTACTTTAGACCGTACATACAGGAATACTGACGATCGGGTCGGAAACAGTTGTAGACATTTGGTTAATTACTACTAACAGATTTGTACCATTTGTAGATGATACAATTAATGAAAATAAGAATAATAATCTAAATGTTCCTTTATCTATAAAAGAAAACAAATATGAGGATGTTTCTGTAGTAGTTAAAGGGGAAAAACAAGAAATGTACAGAATAAATAAAATATATGGATAATTATTAATGATAAGCTACTACTCATGGGCAGTGCAAGTATAAAAAATATCTATCAATCATTTCTGTATATTTATAAATAACCAAAATTGTTCTTATATTGTTTCTAACAGTACTAGCGATTAGTTATCGTATCGAGTATTTAAAATCTTTAATTTTGTAAAATTTTTTTATGACTTTTTACAAAAATGTATACAAAATAATACCAGTAATAATAAAAAATATAACAAATAATATCAAAGCGAAAAATTATTTTCTACACAACGTAAGATTTCTTTAGATGCTATTTTGGTATAGTCAAGAAAGATGATATTTATACACAACCATAGATGTGGTTTAAAAATGACGATCAATTCATCATCTTTCTCAATGGTATAAACAGTACATCAACGAACGAGCGCACAGAGCGCTTTTTTCATAGTTTTGCGAAAATTTAGTATCAACTGCTAAAATAGTAACGCATATAATATCTTTAATAAATGACAATTTATGTAAGTGTTTTGTTGATCGAAATATTATCTATTACGTTCCCAATAAAGTGACATAGATTTTTTACTGCGTTTGTTGTATAATCTTACACTATCATAATATTAAAGCGATAAGCTAAAGCAAAGAAAATCTATAAAAAGGCTAGAGTTAAAAATTTTCCACATTTTTCACATTATAACAGTATAAATTTAACTTTGCCTCAGCTACGAGTCCGTTAATCAGTCTGGCGTAATATTCACGATAGCCTACAGCCTATAGAAGGGAAAAACGAATGTGGAGGTGTAAAAAATTCAAACTACGCATGGACAACACATGTAATTACGTTCTACTTTGGACGAGAGCGCGCCTCGTCGTAGTAGTACTGCTAATATTCACACATCCATGTGTAAAAAAGGTGTGTGTGTATGTAGCGAAGCGGCTATTTACCACTACGCTAACAAGACATAAACGTTACCTTTTGGAGTGGTTAGGCGGCGCAACGTTTGCGAATTACAACACAGCTGATTGTGTGTGCATTGTCTGTCCAAACAAACAATTGTAGTTCGAAAACAAACATCTATGTAGTCGCTGGAATCATGGGGAAGCATCAACAGGAACTTTTTTGGAGTACATGTATAGGTTACCTAATTGTTGGACTTCTTATTTTCGTAAGCAGCGTGTCTGCAAATGTTATTGGCCAGAAGGACGAGGATGACACTTCAGGGCTTTATAACGCCAGTGATCATGTTTATATCTTAGACAATATTAATTTCAAGTCTAGCGTTTTACAAAGCAAGAGAGCATGGTTGGTTGAATTTTATAACAGCTGGTGTGGTTTCTGCCACAAATTTGCTCCAATATGGAAAGCTTTGGCGAAGAACGTTCATGGTGAGATAGATTGAATTGCATCACTATCTTTATATAAAGATTAACATATATTTTTACAAATAACTGTCAAGTCAAGCAATGGTTTACATTAAAATTTATTTTGAGTAAAAATATAAATTAACTAGTTATTTTTTATTTTTTGTAAAGTTACAATGACCTGTGAGAAGGATACTGCAATTTTACTAAAAGTAGATTTATATTTGTGTATTTAGGTTGGAGAAAAATTGTTACAATAGCTGCCATTGATTGTGCCAACGATGATAATAATCCTATATGCAGAGAATATGAAATAATGAGATATCCTACTCTTAAATTCTTCCCAGTGAATTCAAAGACAGACTTTTTAGGCCTAGAGGTACAAAAAGACAAGGATGAAGAGCTTATAATGCAAAGCTTAGTTGTTCAGCTTGAAAAAGAACAGCAAGAGCAGCGTGGAGGATCAGACTGGCCTAATTTAGCTCCATATCGGTATGTTTTTATATCAATTTTACTTCAATTTAAACATTCTTTTTCATTATGAATTCATAAAGCTGTTTCATTATTTGCCTTTTTAATCACTAACATCTATTTTAATAGAATAAAATGACTTCTCTTTTTAGAAACAATGACATTGACACATTATGGACTGGAATTCCTGCAAATATTGAATATCAATTTCTGATTTTTGATGAGCCCAATTCACATTTAGGAGCTGAAGTTATATTAGATTTATATGAATTGAATAATGTACGAATTAGAAGGGTCACATCAGAAAACATTCTTCTCCTAGTTGGAAGTAAAGTGAATAAATATCCCAGTATTTTAGCTATCAATAAGGATCAAACACAAACTACTCTGAAACTTGATAAATTAACGCGAGATGGACTTAGAGAAACAATTTTGGAATTTCTAAAATCAAAAGGAATATCCACAGGTGTGAAAGATTTTTCTGATAATGCTACCTACCATAAACTAATACACAGTCCCAAAAAAATGGAACCTATTAAAGTAGAAGATAAGTTGTACCAGTTAGATTTAGAAACTACACTTCGATATACTTTGAATAATGAAATACCACTTTCAAAGCATATTGAAGGTGAAAAGCTAAAAGCGCTTCAAACTTACTTGAAAGTTTTAGCTCACTATTTTCCTGCTTATCTGCCAAAGATGAAAACGTATTTACAAGTTTTAAGTGAAATTGTTAAGAGTAAAAGTAATATAACCGGGAAAGAATTCAGAAAAGAAGTCAAGTCTAAGGAAGAAGGACTAACACCAGTTTATTCAGGCCCAAAAACTTGGATTGGATGCAAAGGTAGTGATCCTACGCTCAGAGGTTATCCTTGTGGCTTATGGATTTTATTCCATACGCTGACTGTGTCAGCTGCAGATGATAATAATGATGATCAAGTTGATAAACCTCTAGTTTTATCTGCAATGCATGGCTACATTAAAAACTTTTTTGGTTGTGCTAATTGTTCAGACCATTTTCAAGCAATGGCTAAGAAAAGAAATCTGTTTGATGTTCATGGAAATGATGAGAGTATTTTGTGGCTGTGGAGAGCACATAATGAAGTTAATGAAAGATTAGCTGGTGATGAAACTGAAGATCCAGAGCATAAGAAGATTCAGTATCCATCCTCCAAAGATTGTCCACAGTGTAAGCAATCTAATGGTAAGTGGGACGAAAATGAAGTCTTAATCTATTTGAAAATGAAGTATGGTAGGTCAAGAATTAATCTAGAAGGTATTAGCAGTGAATTATATCATCAAGAAAGGAATAGTAGTGCATCAAACTCTGGTGTAAGTCATCGTAAGATTGGTTGGGATTTTACAATATTTGATATTAGCATTTGCGTTGTGCTCTACATTATTTCAGCCACAATGCTGACTCTGGTATGCATTAAATTTGCTTATAAACGAACTTACAAGAAAAAAATATCACATTTATTTGGTTTAGCCTAAATAATTTGAAAAGCAAATCTCAATGTGATAAATGAAAATGTATATATGTTTTGCAATATGATGACCAAGGCGTTATTTTGTAAATCATGTTTAGAAATGAAATGTACACAGTGTAAAAATACTAATGGTAGAATAGTAATATGCTTTGTACATAGGTTGTGACATAATTTTGGTTTAGAGAATATTTATGTTGTAAATTATTTTCAAAAAACAATTGTACAATTTTTTCATACATTTTTTAAGATAACTTGAAATTTTACATAATCTTATTTTGAAATATTTACTATCAAATACATCTTTTGTATAATTAATCTATCTTTAACGGTTTACAAGTTAAATATTAATATAACATCTGATTCAAATACTTATATTTAATTGTTCTTCTCTAAATAACATTTTTATTGATAAACTTCATAAGATAAAGTTTTTCGTTCCATACAAATTTTTTTTATTTAACGGGTGTGACGTTAACCAAAGTTATGAATGACTGCCTTGAATGTATATAAAAGTGGTAGACTTTTCAAATTTGTAATAATCTAAAAAATATATAACTTTATTCAACGCATCCAGTGCAGTTGATATATACATATGCATTTTTTTCTGAATATCATTTATCGTTTTATTTTCAATTAAAAATGGCAGCTTATACGATATACTATTAAAAAAGGATTCTGTTGCGCAATTGTTACGCTATAACTTTTTTTCATGTAGTAAGCTTTTGGTTGTATTTTAAAAGAGCAATAAATCCTTGAGAGGAAAACTGATGGATGGCACTGAACATTTTTTTAAACACTACGATACAAGACTATTGTAATTTCAGCATTTCAAAGTCTGTGTAAAAGAAACCTGTGTGTAATAATAACCAAAATGAATATTGTGATTAAAAATAAATTAATTATACAATTTTATTTTATTAAGTTATAAGAGTGTTTATCAATTCAATTATTTCATGTAATGAAAAATTTTGAATATTATTCATCATGTGAAATACATGTCTATGCACCGATCTTCCTATATATAATATGAATGGTTTTTATCAAATTACTAAATAACTATAATAAAAAATTCTTTCTATCATAATCCTTTTCATCTTATTATTCAATTCCTTTTATTCAAACAATAGTTTATTGAGATTACATCGATTCATCGAGTATTTATGCAATATTTCACGCTGAATGTATGAAATCTTTAAAAGCAATTTTTTTTAATTTTCAGTTTACTGCAGATAAAATTACAAATGTTTTGTTTATTTTCTTTTTTTTCTGCTTAAAATAAATTAACGTCAGAAAAAGCCTTTCACTCGAAAATCCAGTTCCGATAAATGCATTTCCTATTTAACACTTCAAATCTAGTTGGCCATGAGTGAATTTCATACCTGTTTATCCAGCATCCAGATTGCAAGTTACAGGGTTTTCTACTTAGAGAGACATCATGCGCCAGAAATGCAGCAGATATGTACGTTTTATCATTGCTCGCATCCTCGTTCTGCAAATAATTCATATTTTCATCTCGATGATCTCGTAGACGTCCTATATCAGACGTTTGACGCCCGTAATTGTCCCCTTATGTAGTAGAAACTCCCTAAAAAACACGAGTGACTGGTGAAGCAATATTCTAATTTACGTCATTATTTAAAAAAACTGTAGACATTTTTCTTTTATAGTACATTACGATACGAGTGCAGGAAACTAGATTTCTGTCTCGTGTGGTGTTTACGTCGCCTGAACAAAGCGAGGGTGGAAAGGCACACGAGACGAAAAACTCTTTCCCGAACATACGTCGTACCGTATTTTTCGATACGACGTGTGGAAAGTACGATTTTCAATGCTCGTTTTTCGCCAAGTATGCGGGAAAGACGTAATTTGCGCACGGAGTGTCGAAAAAGATAGTTCAAGAAAATTAACATCGCACTGACTCATTCTGTAATATGAAAAAATGTCTTTTACGAACGTAATACATAATACACTATAAATTTTATTTTGAAGTACATTTTCAATTTGTTTTGGAAAAATGATAATTATACAGCGACCAATAATAAACGTAATGATGTTTGTTAATAAGTATAATAAAAAATTAAGATAAAATTAAATATGTTTGTCATTAAAATTGTTAAGGAAATTGAATAGGTATCTTAGAAATCTAAATAAGTTGAAATTTTTATTGTTATTTCGAGTAAATAAATACTACGGCTATAAACCGTCCAACAGTTGCGATTTCCGTGCTGGAATTGCATGAGGATCTTGAAATGAAGTGAGGAGTGGTTTGTACCTGTAACTAATAGAGGCAAAGTCGAACTGTAACTTTGACAGTTTTAACTGTTACAGCTAATAGATTTTCTATACAATATTCAACTTTCATGGATGTTTAATTTTGCCATGTAAATTTTTTAATTTTCATTCGAATCTTATAAAACATGATAACTACATTCAGTTATATTCTTAAAGTCCAGATAAATCTTAACTTTTTTCCTATGTCTATATTCTAGAAATTTCTATGACTCATAAGCAATATAATTGAATAAATTACTAATTAGAGATAAAACAATATTGCTAATCTTTTATAATCGTTATTATAATGTAAAAATAAAATTATTGAATGTTTATAAATATATTCATTTAATACTATCACAGTTCGCCTTATTTTTTTATAATGATTGTACGCTTTTTATTTGTTAAATATATTATAGTACAGTGTGCTGAGGAATTATTTTCGTGTTCTATTGCACAAATATGCTACATTATGCATTATAGAGACATCACAACCTCATCGACGTAATGGAACGACAAATATTAATCATCTCCATCTTTCTAACATAATACCATTTACCCTAAAAGCTTCCCTTTAGAAAAGTATCTATCGCCCTAGAAAGGCAAACAACAACTTAATATACCGCATTCCGTTTAGCAAAATAATTGTCATTTAAATGCTCTGGAAACCTTGAAAAAACAAAATTTGTATCTCAAACTAAATCATCTGTGAAAATAGCGTAGTATAGGAAGAAAGGCGAGTTGGCGTGTAGCACACAATGTACCGGAAAATAAGGAACCGCGCACACATGAAGACGTTATGGGGAGTAACGGCGGCCACTCGCAGAGATCTTTGATTTGATTTATCGCTTGATACCTTCTACTCTACATATTTCTCCTAAGCCTTCTTTTTTCATTAACCGTATTATAGAATTATCCTTTACTGCTTCGCTTATTCGACTGCGTAGATGAAATGTAATGGAGATGAAATATAAATTATTGAACGCTCTGGTCCAACGAACACATGATGTTTGTTTTTTATTAAAATTACAGTAAGTTGAAGAATATTTAAAAAAATGTTATCTTTTTCATGGAAAAATTAAATTTTTGAAAGAAGCTGGTAAAAAAGCGTAGAAAAATAAAAAAATCTTTGTTTATGAAATTAGATTAGAGTTATGACCACGTCGACGTGAACAAATGACGTAAAAAACCCTTGGGAACGCCCAGAAATAGAACTGCGTATTATTACGCAGGTAGGGTGGAATTTTTCTGCGAGGTCGAGTTTGAAAGCGCCGCACACAAACTTACAAAAAAGAAATGATCACATAAGGGTGAAAGCAAACCCTGCAAGCTTGCATGTCTTATCATAGCGAAGACTACATAATTATTGTTATTGGAGGGGTAATGGGACGGCACTGATAGACTTGTGAAACTCTGAATTTAAATATTCGTAAAACGTTTCTAGCTCAACTTTTTTCTGGAATACGATTTGACCCTTGTACCGGGACTTATTTTTTTGAGATATAAACTTCAGACACGTACGTGCTGGCAATATTAATTGTTAATTTACGTTCACTTGTTGAGGATGGAAAGGAAAAGCTTGATCAACAACAATAACAAAAAAACAATTCTGAAAGCAACTAAGTAATAATTCCGCAAGTTTTAATGTCAATCTGTTGCATCGCAAGCTATCGTATATTTTTATCGGGGCATATATATAGCTTTCTCACACTTTGCACTGCTTACGCACCAACTTTTTCCGTTAGCTACGGCTCTCTGACTTTGTCTGTTCAATCGAAGTCGCGCGCGCGCGCGCGCTGTTTTCATTTTTCGTTTTTCTCGCTCTCTTGTATATTTTTGCTCCGCAAACTTTCGCAATAACGAGGGCGCAAGCGCGCGAATTTTTTAGCGGCTCGAAAGAAAAAGAAAAGGGAGATAGCTGTATCGAAAATTAATTTCTGTTTAAAGTCGAACAAAAGCAGAAGAACAAAGAACAAGAAAATCACGCGCTTATGACGCTATTGACGTTACGATCGGAGTCAGGAGGAACCAGAGGACTAAAACTCGAAGAAACTTTTTCCCTTTCTTTTTCTCTCTTTCTCGCCCCTCGACGTTGTTAAAATCTTCACTATGAGTCTTTCATCTTAATTCTTGTCTTTTCATTTATTTTTGTTCACCCGATTTTATGGACTTGGCTACTGATCGCAAATCTATTACAGCAGAGTTTTGCGAACATCGGAAATTTCACGGATCATTACAGTTGTTTTAGTTTTTAAGGTGTTGACAGTGAACACGATGTCGTTGATATTTGTCTAAAAATCTAAATGTCATCTTTACTGAAAAGTATCAATTTTTGTCAAACATATTTATATTAAGTTTGTTTCGTAGAATATGTTCTTGGAGATTGTCTCTATAATTTTGTTTTCTTATCTTACTCGTGAAAACAATTCTATTAGATATCTTATTGTCAACCGTTAAATAAAATCTAATAGTTATAGAATGTTTTAATCATGAATGAATAATAATAAACGATCGAAGAAGACGTGATATATATGATTGTGAACCATACTATGCAAGCTATCTCAGCAAAAATATCAAGTAGAATCTATTTAGAAGGTACCTTTCCGTATCTAAGAACTGCAGTTTTTTTACGAAGTCAACGAACGTCTCGACATGACGAAGTCCAGCTAAGTAAAAGAGAAAAATAAGCAGTCAAAACCAATTTAATGAAACCACTTGGGTATGAGAGCTGGGTGATACGATGACAAACACAGATCAAGCGTAGAGAAAGATAGGGGGTGGGGGACTCGATCGAGAAAAATATTCGAGCGTAATACAAACGGCTCCAAGTTGTATCCACGCGCTCGTCCTTTTGCATTCGCGGAATTCTATTTGCTCCCTTGGACTGATGGACAATGGACGAGAATAAGAAAGTAGGAGAAAGCCGAAGGCACGGCAAACTTTTGCTGTCTTTCTCCCGCGTATCCTTTTTCTTTGGCGACTATACGAACTTTGTCTAGACCTCGCGAGGAGAATCAGAGCGTGGCAAGGTCACAAGACGATATTTCTGTTTTCTTCGACTCTCATCTCTTATTGTCGTGCGCGATAAAGCCCTTACTTTAAACTCGAATGGATTGTTCAATTACCAGCTGGATTTATAAAAAATTACGAAGGCAAGTCACTGCTTCTCTCTATTATCCATTCTTGCGTCCGTCCTTCCATCCTTCCTTTCCTTTTTTCCGTGTCGCCGCGACTGAAAGCTTTTTTCTCTGCTGTTTTAATGTCAGATTATTCATATAACATGAAAAAACTTTGATATCGTTGTACTTTATTAATATTACTTTTATGCTTATTAAAAGATATTAAGAGGTTCAAACTGCCTAATAAATCATCGCCAACTGTACTTCAAACAAACATCAACCTGAAGTCAAATGAAACGTATCATCGTTCGGTCGCTTCGGTACTTATCAATACATGCCTTAGATTTGAAGCTTGCGCATAATTTAAAACAGCAGTAACTCAAGAGAGCTCGTTTGATTTTGTTTGCCTCTTAAAATTTATTACTTTGCATATATCGATTATTTACACGCCAATGTACGTGAGAGTTGAGCACGAGCGTTTGCTGTTACTAGAACCATTTGCTGTTACTAAATGGTTGAAAAGCCCGATGGTACGGTTTATAGAATCTAACATTCTCTAGTAGATAAAGCTCTATTCCAGACACTTGCAGGAACCTAACTTATGAATAGACTCTATCCCAGACATTTGCAGGGACCGAGTTTAGCTAATCATATGGTTCATATTGATCCAGACACTTACGGACCAATATAGCGTGGAATAGAGCAATTTTCGGGACAGAAATTTATCAGTTGACGAATGAAAGAACAGAAAAGAGTAGAGTTGAAATATTGATAAAAAGAAGTTTACTGTTATTGACATGCTTATTGTTCATTATTCTATGACAGACCTTTACGCGTATTTTGACAAATATTAGAAGCTGATGGATTTCCTTCGAAAATACGACGTTCTGTGGACTAGCCCGAATAGTATTCGGATTTTTAATAAGTGACGTTACTCATCTTGGTCCCATGTGGTTTTTCTAAACTTGACAAGATTGGCGAGCTTTCTAATTACGCATACATAATTGGCCGGAAGCGAGATCAACTTTAAGATGGGTGGGCGTGTACGTTTGAGTTCAACTCTTTTCTCGAGAGATGGCTCAATGTGTACTATTTTATGGGTTTGTAATATATTTAATTAACAACGTACGATGCTTAATACATTTTATATGAGGTAATTTAACGATACAATGCTGATTACAATTGACAATGCAATAAACGAAACTCAGATTTCGTATTTTTCAATTGAATCAAAATGGTTAAACAAATCATTTGAGAAGTAAGATATAAAATATTAATTTCATTTTTATAATAATTCTAAATTTTATTGAGAAATATTATTTTATAATAATTATTCAGTGATAAATATAATGAATAATACATTAGCAAATATAATGAATAATACATTATTGGAGCTTTGTTGGACCATGTATTATAATGTTAGTAACTTATAAAGAGCGAGAGAGAGAGAAAGAGAGCTCAATGTCTGTAAATGTCATAATTTTTATTAGAAAATATTGAATTTTACAAAAGCATTCCATGATCCTTCCATAACTGTCTTTCTTACACTGAAGTTGTTTATCGTATGAACTTCTGTCTAAAAATATATTGTTTTATTCGATTCAGTCTCTCGTCTCGCTTATTGTTAGTCACTGACAATAAAAATAACAATAATTTTAGAGACTTAATATTTTGATCTTTATGAAGGTAAAGTTTCTCATCATATGCATTTGAAAGAAAGAATATAAAAGTTTATCTAAATATTTACTTGCCGACACATTAGATTACAATTTTAATTACTCAGAATGTAAACAGCTAATTGAAGCCTTATAATATAATATCTAATTTAACTCAACATAACTATAATTTAACTATTCAGAGGAATTAACTTTAAATGCCGCAGCTTTTTGCGAGTCTTTAAAAGCAATTAGACTATTTCAAAGCTGCTTAACCATTCATTCATTAATGAACAGCTGGTTAACCGCTTATACCTTTAGATTTTCATTTTATTCACGTTAAAGTGAGGTTCAACCTTCTATTAGGATGAACTTGTAAAGGTTAATGCCATGCACTACGCTTTAGTTATAATTGCAAATAATTATTTCACTTTCTATTTTACCTTTTTTAGAAAGTTAAATTATATTGCTCTTCTAAAAATTAAATTATCTTCTATACAATCATGTTCAAAATAATAATTTCTCATACATAAAATGAGGACATCGTGATAAGATCTAATATCTATAATTCGTAAAATTGTAGTAATGAAATCACAACGAATTGATCCCAAAACTATTATCAATTTTTAATGAATTTTAGTGTAAATGTTACCATGAATTTCATATTACTGTTGAATTAATTAAAAATTTAACATGAATATTGTAAAGTCACTATCTCCGGCGTACCACGGAATTGTTTTTATTTCGTTTTATTTTTTCAAAGAAATAAAAGGTAATGCACATTCTCAACGGTAATTTAATAGCTTCCAGTTTCGAATACAAGAGTGGAAGAAAGTAATGGAAAAAGAAGGTTGAGCTTTAAAGAGGATTTGAAGAGAACAGCAAGAATTGTACTCTGACCTTTTTGTTTCTACGATTGCCGTGGAGATATCTTGTAGTTATGTAATTAATTTTTATTAAAATATAAAACAGAAAGTGATCAAGTTACAGCATGTTATAGTTTACGCAGAAACTTTTCTTATGTTTACTAATTTCCAGAGATTATAAAATAATGTCATATTTTTAGGTCGAACAATTAAAAAATTTCAGATTCGTTTTTGAAATAATTTATAACAGATTTTGAGATAATTTATAACACCTCGACAGCTCGTTAAAGGATTTACACTACTAAACTTCTACGTACGCAAGTTTTATAACATATATGTAAAATGAGTCCTGTCGCACATAATAGTAAAACATATTAAATTGATAGTAGTAGTCCACTGTGAGTATTTAGGTCAGTATAACGAAAGAACTATTGTGTAAATAGCTTTAGCTACTTTTATGTTCGAGCTGATCTGCAGCAGTTTCAAAGAAATAGAAAAAGACGCACGAATGCCGGTGTTAAACAATCCCTGGATCAGCGAAAAGAAAAAACCATTAGATAGTTGTGCGGTTGTCAAAGACAATAACGAGGAAATTAAGAGCGAGAAAAAGTGTAAGCGAGAGGATTGATAAAAACCTGAGGGTCTAATGGATAGAAGCTGGGAAGGCCGACCGCAAACATTAACCTTAACCTCGACTTGCGACTAGATTCATTCCGACTGTTGATTGCGAGAGCCGAACTGCTAACCTACCATCGCGGGATATAAAAGCGTAAAAGATCTTTTGCACAATGGACTGAGCCGAGATATTCTCTGAGAGGCAAGCGTTTCCAGATGGATTTTCAATTGTCTGCCGTGACATAGATATGCATCACTGCGAGCATTCATGTACGGCGATATAAAGCTACTGTGAAAAATATAACATGCTTCGGTTGGAATAATTTAAAAGTATAACTTTCAAGTGAAAACTAAAGTTGAGTATTTACAATGCCAAGTAGCTTGGTAATCATGATGGACTGACATTTTCATCTCATTTTCAAGAATGTAGAACCCAGTAAAGTTTTCTCTTTGAAGTAGTAATGTGTTACCTTCAATGATCTTTAATTTAAAAATCTATCAGATAAACTCGTAGGAGCATGACGACGTCATATTCGTGGTCAAACATTTTATAGTCTCACAGAAATGACCTTGCTAAGTAGACAAATAAATATACATACAAGAGAGAGATTCTTGCAGTTCAATTGTGCCACTATAGGTCGACTCGGCATTGCACCATTCATTGGACGTAACGATCGTGTTAACGAATCTCTCTCTCTTTCTCTCTCTCTCTCTCTCTCTCTCTCGCTCTCTCTCTCTCTCAATCGGGCCTCGCGATTTCAATTTACACGTTCGCTACAAACTCGTTCGCTGAAAATTTGATTTGCATGGTACTTCGTGAGCGCGCTGATGCAGGTGTTGACAATGGTCCGTAAATGCTCTGCAAGCTTGCGCACAATCACCATTCAAGAACTGTGGTCATGCGAACCTATTTCACTGCTACTGTTGCCGTCGAGATTTTCATCATGTATATACATAGTTCTTTATATGTGTGTGTATGTGTGTGTGTATTTGTTGTTTAGGTGTCGCTTTCGTCAATTTGTGGATAGTTACGATATGAAGTTTACGCTTGGGTTTTGCGTTGCCGTATGCCGAGTTCGATCGCCGTCGACGTAATGGCTTTTGTACACAGAAGTGTGACCTATGGTTTTTGACCTTCTGACGCCGGCTGCACATATTTTTCTGAGATAAAATCACAAATCAAAAATCAAATTAGAAAATATTTATGACTGCCAAATTATTTCCGTTATGTTTTTCTTTATTTTTGAAATACTCTTATTACATTTACAGTTCTATATTAAACAATCAAAATAATGCGTCCCCGTTAATCATTTAGTTGACTAAATTGAGCTCATTCAAAAACGATATGTAGAGCTAATAGACATTTTATCTCTGCCAAGCATAAAGCGAGCCACTCTCGCAAATTAGACTTCCGGGAGCCATCGTTGATCGCTTTTTGCAGAACAATAGACTTATCAACAAAGGCAATATAACCAAAGACATTTGATATAGCATCGTACAAGCTGCTCTCCTTCCTTTCTTCATCGGTGACAGCACAAAGATGTTCGCGCGAGTTGACGATGTCTGACCATCTGTTTACTTGTTCTGCTCCAAACTAAAAGCGCTCACGCACATTGAAAACTTTCGGTTTGTTGATATCGACTTTTCCTGCAAAAAATTTTGAATGAATGAGATTATAATTGAAACTATCTGTACTAACTTTCCAAATTACTTTAGAATATCAACAATGCTATGAAAATGCAATTAGAGGTGGTTTATACTTTTTTTGACTGTTAGTTTTTTTACTGTGTCACAATAATTATTCAAAATAACAGTTTTAGATTTAATTTCTAAACAAAAATGGTGTATACGATTGTCAAAAGTAATAAATTACTAAGAACAGTTCCGAAAGAAACTACGATCTAAAAGTAAAAGAGTAAAAAAGTAAAAAAAAGCTAAAGCGGTCGCAGCCCCCGGTTAAATAAAAATCAAGAGAGAGAGAGAGAGAGAGAGAGAGAGAGAGAGAGAGAGAGAGAGAGAGAGAGAGGGTAAGTATGCGCGTGCGGCACGCGGCGGCGCATCGTAGATTCTCGGATGGATCTGAGTGTGTGCGCGGCGGCAGCAAAAGCGCGCAAGCTCGTTCGCTCTCGTCGCGGACAGTGTAACAGCACTTGCCCTCCCGGGAGGCACGAGCGAGTTTGTGCTACTGCTACACCAGAATCTCCCTTCTCTCTCTCTTCTTTCGAGGGCGAGTAGCGTGCGCACGCAAAGGAAAACGCGCGCGCGCTCTCTCTCTCTCTCCCTCTCTCTCTCTCTCTCTCTCTCTCTCAGTTCGATACGAAAGCTCGCGCCGAGGTCCACGCGCGTGGAAACCAGCGACCAGATCGCTTTCTAAACCGGACAAACATACGTACAAAGCAGTCCTCATTTTTACGAGTTCATTTCTATCGCTTAATCACCACAATGGTCACTTTTTTACGAATGTGTTCGAGTGACGCACGCTACTTTTGATCAGTTTAAAAAAAAAACGTTTCTTTGTGGTTTAATTGAAAAAAGAACCTGACTGCGATCTGATATCGAGGCTACAGTAAACAGGTGGATCTCAGTGCTGTATTATTTCCTTTCCTCTCACGGGTTTGTATTCTTTTCTTTGCATATGCCTGCGGTGACTGTTTGAGCTGCTTGTTTCGGTCATTAGAGCTTTCAGTCGAGATAGTTTTGAGAAGCAAATGAATTGAGCATGTAACTTGGAATTCCGCTAACAACAGTTTCCCGGTGCAAAAATGCAACGAACAATGCGAATGAGAAAGCGACTTACTCGGTTACAATAATAATGCTCGCTCTTCAATAAGGGATACTTTCGCTTGTTTGCTGAGCTTGCTGACATTCGCTTTCAATAAATGTTAGCTCGGACAAAAGCACGCATACGTACATCAGTTTATTAAGGAGAAATTAAACTTTAATATCTTATCTTACGAAAGTTCTACTTGTCTAAGTAATTTGCCGTTATTACTGAATGAGAATCACGTAGAATAATGTTTCAGTACATGATTCAGCATACGTCGCTAGATTCAGCATACGTTGAAATTAAAAGTTGTGCTCCTAAAACAACTTCACATATGTCCATATTTGTTACACTTGAAGCAGGAAAATTTGAAAGAGATTTTGAAAGCCATTGTCAGTGCACAAGTAAAAGTTAGTACATTTTTGAAGTATTAATCTTCATTTTTTTATTAATAATTTCTTACATTGCCTGGAAGCATTTTTAATTTATACCATCCAATTATTCTTTAACAGTACTTGAGATTGCAGCTTTTTAAAAAGATATTTTTGTACGATAAAAAACAAAAACCGTCTCATAAAGAGTAACCAATTTTAATGAATCAGAGTAATTAATTTTGCATTCATTAAGTCATTAAAGATATATTTAAAATGAGACATTATACTTTTCGGCTCATTTTTAATTCTCGAAAAACGAAAAGCTGAATAATGTTTACAAAAGCCACATTTCGATATGTGCGTTTTTCCAAGTTATCGCAACGCATTGAGTCAAACAACGAAAATTGTTTAGAGAGCAAACGACTGTGACTGTTAAGATGACTGTATTATCATAGCAAACATTTGCGATACGTTGATGGAATGATTCAAATTCGATCAATCGGTGATGATGGAGGACGTCTTGCGAGAGTAGTGAAGTCAGGTTGTATTTTCGGGAATGAACAGTCGAACGCACGTATAAGCGAGCAAACTTGATTGAAGGCTTCGATCGCCTAAAAGCTGTTGGTTCCGTGTCGCGAAAGGGAAAAAAAGTAGTAAGACGTTCTTTATGGAATTCGTAAATGTGTCGTTGTTTGTTAGAAGCTTAAAAATGATGCGTGAAACGATTACTTGGATTATTGATCTGTTGGTATGTTAACCCGTTAATGCGTAAGTCAGCAACGGTTAAATAACATTTCCTATAATCTAGTTTGGTGCACGCTCACATTCACATACCAAATAGATAATTCAACACATTTGTTTTTCATATATTTCACATCTTTGCTTTGTTTTCCATGTGTGCTTTTATTTTAATGTATTGACTAAAGTGAAAACAATTTATCGAAATCTGCCATTACGAACGTATAAGTCAACGAACACACGCATATCGATCTATTAGAAATTGTAAAAGCAATAAAATGTAAATGCGAAAATGTAGAGGCGAAAAGCGATATATTTTTGAGCTTTATTTTCTGCTCCGAATCACATTCAAAATGCAACGGAACGCATTGTTTTCTTTTTGACACTGTACGCACGTGAATGTTGTATTTACTGAACGCGCATGCAGCGCGAATAACGAAATCATATATGTAACAAGCAGTAGCAGCGCTACACATTTGAATCCTCACAAAATCGATATTTACTATAAAAGAAAACACGTTGCTTATTCGCACGAAATAATTTTTGTTATACTATTGATAAAAAAATATTAACGTTTGTATGTATGGGAATATTGGTTAAATGATCTATCAATGGAATTAGCTATCAATGGAAAACGATACTCTAGAGATCAAATAAAAGCTTTCATAGATGCTTAGAAAGCATTTCCAATAGAGCGTTAGCAGATGAAACGCCGTTATCTCGTGATGTTGAAATAAAATTATCCGCAAAACAAGAATAATCGACGCGTAATGGAGTCGATGTGTCGGAGAGGCATTTAGGGAAATAAATCTAACAGCTGTTTCTTGTTTCCACGCAGAAGAACATTTCTCCCTCGATTAAACTTTCGCCTTGTAATAGCTCATCCGGTCAAGAAGTTCTCAAAGAGCGCTCTCGGGTTTTCATCAACGCACGCGCTCTCGTACAGACATTACGGAAGCCCGCAACAGTATCTCGCTTCAGTGTCAGAGCCACACGTATATACGTCAACTTCTGCCAGTGGCTACCAGCAACTCTACACCTTTCTTTCATCCAATTAAGTTGCGTCAATATGGCGTACACGCACAAAACTTTTTTTCCTTTCTTCTAAAAGTATAACACATGCGCGCGCGAGACTAGATTTCTTAAACACCGCCAGGGAAAAATGTAGGCCAGCAGGGGGAGACCGGAGTCTTTCAATGAACTGTGCAGTTTTCTTCGTCACTGTACGCGATACAACTTTTCAATGCAAGCGAGCTTGCAGCTGCAACCTTGGCATTTGTAAACAAAGCTCACTACTTCGTTATTCACTTGGGTTTGGGATTTTTTTACTTTCAAAGTTTCTTTCCAAGTAATTTTCTTTAAAAAAAAAAATGAATATTTAATTATACTTTATCACGGATACTAATTTTTCTCGACACGCTTTTACCCCTCTTGAGCAATTGTATAGTCGCGACTTGCACGAATATTAAAACGCGCTCTTTCTCTGAACTTTGACACTTTTCTCGCTTACTTAGCAAGAGGAAAAGTTTGTTGTTTTGTTCATCTTTCATTCGCAAGATGAAAGTTCCTCGAGTTTCGAGAACAGAATATTAAGTTCAATATGAATTGAAAATCTTACGAATCTTGTTTTTCGGTAGTAAAGAGCATTCGAGTAATAATACAAAATTATTCGGTCGTCATCGCGATCACGATCAAAATCAACGTTGTTGCTTTTGATTTACACAGCGCTTGTTCAAGAGCGTATGAAGTTCGTGAAAATTCTACATCTACAAACTGTTATATAGAGTATATAATCAAAGCACATGTATGTATAATTAACCAATAAAGTGAGCATTAACGCGAAACTTATTTATACAGAGCCTTTATCGATTGGCACAGGCAGGTATCGACTTTATTAGCGAACTTGATATAAATAGCGTTTCGTACCAGGTTCCCTTTGAAGAGCTGAAGGGCGCCCGAAGTTTTTCTTTCACACACAACCTGCTTGTTTTTTGTGTCGGCTCAGTTATTTTTTTCGTCGTCAGGCTGTGTGATATTCACCAATCTGGTGCATAAGTCGAAACAATCGCCTGTCAATTTTGAGAAGCTTATTAGAGAAGATAATTTTGCCTCTGCAATTTTGAAGGTTAAATTAACTATCGTGGCGACAGGATACGGCCTCTCGTCAAGTCTGCAAATACACGAGAGACAGAGAGAGAGACCTTCCGAAACTCAATAAACCGGAGTTAATTAACGTCTGTGAGGCGCCGAATGCCTGGCTCCTGCTAGTGCGCGAAATTCTATGCGCATTTATCGCAAGACCTTATCCGATGCCAACTTTGTTGCCAACTATTGCTTCTATCCTTGCACGCTTTCTCTTGCTCGCTCACTGCATAAAACGACCACGTGTTCGGGCTTGTTAATGTGTTAATACGAGACCCATATCCTACTCTCACAAATCTCATACTGATGATTCAAAGTTTCCTTCTCTAATTATACGGCTTTTGAGAAAATTCGCTATCACTTCCACGTTCGCTGAGCATATGTAGTACGCTTACTCTTGCAAAGATAATTCGCTGCAGATAGTTGACATTCTTACAAAAGAGCTGATTACTCTTTTAGAAAAATCTTTGGTTGCATTGTTTGCGTTACATTAGAATTTTCCAAAGAAATCCCGAGCATGTTCGATTCACGAATTGGTATACTTTTCTTGCTAAGGGAAAGTTTACATGGAATAAAAATCGAAGTCAAACCGAAACAGCGCGTTCTCGTAGCCTTGAAAAGTACGAATATACGTTGTGCGCACTCGCAAAGAAACAGTAAACCTGTCCGAATAAACTCGAGATTTGAATATAAAATTTCTGCAAAACTGATTTGTGACAAGCAAGACTAGCTGTGGGTTGAATGCGTATGATCCTTGCAAAAGTTTTTTTTAGTTTACAAAAAAACATTCCGGAGAACCGTCATTATGTTGGTAACTTTTTACTTCCACATACTCGATGTTCTCAAAAATATTTTCTCGTACAAATTGAGAATTATACAAGTTCAGCTGGATATTCCCGGGGGTATGTACGTAAATAAGACGATAAGTTTTTGAATACTACAAAACAGTTTGCAAACTTTCAGTTTAATCGATGTATCCGAGGGTCTGCTTGTCACATTATCAGACGTTATAAGTTCTTGGCTAAAATTCATTCATCATAAAAGTTGTCGATCAAAAAAGTTTTTTGTTCGGGCGTAAATTGAATTTTTCATAAATTCCTCTCATTTTACTCATTACTCTTTTTTTGTTTCAAACTCAATTCTCTTAGTGCTGGGAGTAAAAAGAAAAGGAAAAAAATTCCGAAGACCGTTTATTTCTCCCGAAGTCAAGACAAATCGCGGCGCCCCGCTGGCCTGTAAAAAAGGCGGGAGAGAAAGAGAGGGGCCAAACTTATATAGCGTCGCCATCAGTTAGCTTGTTTCATTGAGCGGCGCGTTCGTCTCGAAGTTTAGAGCGGCAACTTTTACGAGAACGAGAGACAATAAGAGAGAAGCCGAGATAAGAGGCGTGGAAGTTCGCAGTTTTATCGGCTGCGACTCGAATCGGCCCTTCCCTTTTTTCCTCTCTTCTATATCCTTCTGCACTTTTGTTTTTTTTCTTGTCGAAAAGAGTGTCAAGCCTTTCCGGTGCCGCGCTGATTATCCACATCATAGACACATGGTGCATTACTTGACGTGCGAGCAACTAGTTTTTGTTTCGGTGTACTTATTCTCAG